AAGGGTTGAAGGAATAGGGATTTCGGTAACAGAACTTTTCAGTCAGAAATGGCTGTAATTATGTTGCAGCTTCAGCAACACGGACAGCGTGATAAACACTTTGATGTTCTGTGGTGTTCGCTGCAGCAGGGAGGAGAGCGACAACGGGTGCTAGTCACACAGTCACTTGCTGTCTTTTATCTTTTAACACAGAGCAGGAAGTCTGAGCCCGGCCCGGCATAATCAAATCAGTTGCTGGTTGGACTCCCTCTAGTCATTTGTGTGTCATAATTATTTAATCAAACAGTGTGCTTAAATCATCAGACAAGCTCAGTGCATATAGTTGATTTGATTAAAACACATAGGATGTGTCAATATATGGAAAGATACACGTTTAAAAATTGGTCGAAGAACAGACGACTCTTGGTCGACCAAGATTTTGTTTTGTCAGGGACGTCCCTACAGAGCGAAAATACTAAATTTGAAGTACAATCGATTGTGAGATATGGCATATACATTTTATGTGATAAGTTTGGTTCGTGGGTTCACAATTTTACCTTTTCTGAGATAGCTGTCAAGCAAGGAGGAATTTCCAGCCAGCTCATGCAACAACACAAGCACAATAATCACAACACACCAGCAGTTTTCAAAATAGCCTACATCAGACTTTATTTTTTATTTTATTTTTAGCACATCACCCGACCAAACACAACACGCCTTTTACTATATTGTCAGAAGCATCATCAGACCTCGGTTGTAGCCAATTTAATTTCTCTCTTTCAATGCTCTGGAAACCAAACAGAAAATGCTTGCTCTAAAGATGGCATCGTAGCCACACAAATACATTAGAAGATACAGTGGGGAAAAAAAGTATTTAGTCAGCCACCAATTGTGCAAGTTCTCCCACTTAAAAAGATGAGAGAGGCCTGTAATTTTCATCATAGGTACACGTCAACTATGACAGACAAAATGAGAAAAAGAATTCCAGAAAATCACATTGTAGGATTTTTTATGAATTTATTTGCAAATTATGGTGGAAAATAAGTATTTGGTCAATTACAAAAGTTTCTCAATACTTTGTTATATACCCTTTGTTGGCAATGACACAGGTCAAACGTTTTCTGTAAGTCTTCACAAGGTTTTCACACACTGTTGCTGGTATTTTGGCCCATTCCTCCATGCAGATCTCCTCTAGAGCAGTGAAGTTTTGGGGCTGTCGCTGGGCAACACGGACTTTCAACTCCCTCTAAAGATTTTCTATGGGGTTGAGATCTGGAGACTGGCTAGGCCACTCCAGGACCTTGAAATGCTTCTTACGAAGCCACTCCTTCGTTGCCCGGGCGGTGTGTTTGGGATCATTGTCATGCTGAAAGACCCAGCCGCGTTTCATCTTCAATGCCCTTGCTGATGGAAGGAGGTTTTCACTCAAAATCTCACGATACATGGCCCCATTCATTCTTTCCTTTACACGGATCAGTCGTCCTGGTCCCTTTGCAGAAAAACAGCCCCAAAGCATGATGTTTCCACCCCCATGCTTCACAGTAGGTATGGTGTTCTTTGGATGCAACTCCGCATTCTTTGTCCTCCAAACACGACGAGTTGAGTTTTTACCAAAAAGTTATATTTTGGTTTCATCTGACCATATGACATTCTCCCAATCCTCTTCTGGATCATCCAAATGCACTCTAGCAAACTTCAGACGGGCCTGGACATGTACTGGCTTAAGCAGGGGGACACGTCTTGCACTGCAGGATTTGAGTCCCTGGCGGCGTAGTGTGTTACTGATGGTAGGATTTGTTACTTTGGTCCCAGCTCTCTGCAGGTCATTCACTAGGTCCCCCCGTGTGGTTCTGGGATTTTTGCTCACCGTTCTTGTGATCATTTTGACCCCACTGGGTGAGATCTTGCGTGGAGCCCCAGATCGAGGGAGATTATCAATGGTCTTGTATGTCTTCCATTTCCTAATAATTGCTCCCACAGTTGATTTTTTCAAACCAAGCTGCTTACCTATTGCAGATTCAGTCTTCCCAGCCTGGTGCAGGTCTACAATTTTGTTTCTGGTGTCCTTTGACAGCTCTTTGGTGGAGTTTGGAGTGTGACTGTTTGAGGTTGTGGACAGGTGTCTTTTATACTGATAACAAGTTCAAACAGGTGCCATTATTACAGGTAACGAGTGGAGGACAGAGGAGCCTCTTAAAGAAGTTGTTACAGGTCTGTGAGAGCCAGAAATCTTGCTTGTTTGTAGGTGACCAAATAGTTATTTTCCACCATAATTTGCAAATAAATTCATAAAAAATCCTACAATGTGATTTTCTGGATTTTTTTTCTCAATTTGTCTGTCATAGTTGACGTGTACCTATGATGAAAATTACAGGCCTCTCTCATATTTTTAAGTGGGAGAACTTGCACAATTGGTGGCTGACTAAATACCTTTTTTCCCCACTGTAATTGTCGATCTGATCAGAAACACGGCGCTCACAACCTTTATCTCCTAAATTATGTCGCCGGTGTATTTTGTTTACATTTTGAAATATATTACGCAATAGGTTATGAGGTTTATACCTGGCGTGAGTACATCCAGACTCGATTCCTGTGCGCGAAACAACACACAACGAGCTCGACAAATATATACTGAAGCAAAGTTTTATCCACATTTTAGATAAGAAAATATCCACCTACCTTTCTGTAATGTCAACCATTCAAATCAAATAACTCCATATGTCAGCCTTTGTCTTTATAAACTTTAACCTAGCCTGCTCCATGATATGGGTAATCCAATGAGCAACACTGCAGCTGTTGATTTCAGTGATCATCATTCATCACGTATGTGACCGACCGCCTCGATTTGGTCTTATGTACCAAAATTTGAAATTGTGTTTTTTACATTAGATAAAAGTAGGGACTCGGAGCTAGAAAATGGTATATCATACACTGCAGTCGAGGAACAATGGGGGAAGTAATTCTGCTTTGAAAGTTGATAAACTTTTGAGAAAATGGCCCTTGAATGTTTTGGTACACCTACTGGAGAGCTCTTCTTTGTCTACACCCATTCAGCATCGTTCACACCCTCTTAAGCCTTAGCCCCACAGGATACAGAATGGTTATGTGAAGGAAATGCTATAACCACCCCTCAGCCACATCTAGCTAAGTGGATGGGTCACTATTGTCTAGACATGAAATACAATAGATGGCCGTAATCACCCCCAGACACACCTGGCTAACTTGATGGGTCATGTAATCATCTGGAGAAGTTTATACATGTAGCTAGCTAGCTAAACAATGAACCGGCATAATCCCAACTCGTACTACTACCAATACAAACATTGTCATAGCTGTATTATGAATCTGCAGGTAGCTAAAGCTAACAACTAGGTTCAATGTTAGCTAGCTAGCTATAACTAGCAAAGCAAATGGTTTCTGATTTGAAAAATATTACTACACAGATCATACACGTAACGTTCGCTAGCTAACAGTATGCTTTAACTTGCAATGAAAACGACTTTCTGACCAAATTAGAAACGTATATCTGAAAATGTAGCTAGACTCTTACCCGTATACATGGATGAACGCTGCAGTGAGTGGGGGGCTGTATAACCCTGTGACGTAGCTTTCGCTCTAGCTCTACCTCGCGCTCCCTGAGTGAGAGGGGTGTGCACTTTGACAGACAGTCCAACAATGAGTCAGAGGGGTTTGGAGGACAAAGAATGCAGAGTTGCATCCAAAGAACACCATACCTACTGTGAAGCATGGGGGTGGAAACATCATGCTTTGGGGCTGTTTTTCTGCAAAGGGACCAGGACGACTGATCCGTGTAAAGGAAAAAATGAATGGGGCCATGTATCGTGAGATTTTGAGTGAAAACCTCCTTCCATCAGCAAGGGCATTGAAGATGAAACGTGGCTGGGTCTTTCAGCATGACAATGATCCCAAACACACCGCCCGGGCAACGAAGGAGTGGCTTCGTAAGAAGCATTTCAAGGTCCTGGAGTGGCCTAGCCTGTCTCCAGATCTCAACCCCATAGAAAATCTTTGGAGGGAGTTGAAAGTCCGTGTTGCCCAGCGACAGCACCAAAACATCACTGCTCTAGAGGAGATCTGCATGGAGGAATGGGGGAACTTGCACAATTGGTGGCTGACTAAATACTTTTTTTCCCCACTGTAACTTTTAGTTTTGTCATTTTATTTTCATCTTCCATTGATTAGCCTAGATATATCCTAATAACTTAACACAGAGGCTCTAGCTCTATGAATGTAGCCTAGTGCCGATTTGATGACTTGTGATTGGACGACAACAGTAACAAGCTACAAGGATCACTCTCGTGAAAAACGAGAGCAGCAGCATAAATGATAAAATGTTATCTTTCTCCGCGCGATGTAGATTGTGAATTCAGGTTTAATTTAATGTTTTTTCCCCTTATCGTTTTAAAGGAAAATAACGTTTTAAAAAATTGTCAATTTCCTTAGAAGTGTTACTGGAGTTGCAAAGAGGAGCAATATAACCGGTAACGTTCTAAATTTACCAGTAAACTACAGAATTTTGGAAGCTTTCAAGGATTTTGGGTAGTTGTCATAACATGTAAAATATAACATGTTTTTAATATGAAAAATAGAATCACAAAGCTGTGAAACATTATCTTACGTATAATCCGTTACCATTGCTGTTTAATATGAAGATTTCTGCATGTCATATTTTTTCAATGTTATTTTATTATATCATAACTTTGTTGTAAATGTTTTGGGGCCGAACTGGTGTAACTTGTGAAAAAAGTCAGTAGTTGAAAGAAACTCATGGACAACATGGACACAGATATAGAAAAATATATGAATACATATTTTAAAATTAAAGTATAAATTACCAACGTTTACATAGATTACCAATATCTGTTAATGACCAAAAACGAATTTAAATGTTGGTAACATTGATAAATTACCGGGTGTTTTGCAACCCTAAGTGTTACCAATTTTGACTGAACATCTAGTTGCAGAATTGTCCAATGATAGTGACTTAAAAACCTTTAGATCTTCTTTGCCCCTCCATTGCAGGTACAACAACTAAGATCACCACCATTCCCATGACGTCCAAGCCCAACGTTATCGTGGTGCAGAAGACCACTGACAAAGGAACGACCATCCAGGGTCTGCCTGGCAAGAATGTGGTCACCACGCTATTGAACGCAGGGGTCAGTTCAACATTGTTTTTTATTCTTAATTAAGCCATTTTGTGATGTTACATTTCATTTATCTAGATTGTAATTAATTATTTCAGAATCTTTCAGATGTATTGACCCAACAACTTATTTTAGGTTTATGGGTAGTTCTAGTTTAGCCTTTCCGTCTGATCAGTCTATTGCATTTAGCTTCATATTATACGTCACAAGTTTAAAATGTTGTCATTTAGCAGACGCTATTATTCATAGCGACTTACATTAAGACAACCACATATCACAGTCATAGTAAGTCAGTGCTAGTAAGAAAAGACCCGTGCAAGTGTTGGTGCAAGAAAGGCAAATGACTATGGTAGCGTCAGAAATGGCACCCTATTCCTGTTGTAGTGCACTACTTTTGACCAAGGCCAGAGGGCTCTGGTCAAAAGTAGTCCACTATATAAGGAATAGGGTGGCATTTGGTATGTATCCTAATTAGGGCTGTCAAAGTTAACGCTAGCGTTTATGCATATCATTTTTAATGCCGTGAATTTTTTAAAAGCCGTTAACGCATTTTCTTAGTTTGACCCCCTGAACCATCCATAGTTCAAATTCAAGCCCCGGCAGCCGATGCGCTAGTTTGACAATTAGTTTACTAGCTAGCTACTTGTATGACTGAATTATGGATAATGCTAGTAAGGGGCTTTTAAATGGCAAATTCGATTTAAAACCCTCCCAGATGGCTCTCTGGATAAAACCAAAATAATTTGCATCTACTGCAAGGCTGATTTTGTTTATCACCGAAGTACATCGAGTCTTCGTTATAATTTACAAGCGAAACAGGCGCCGGGCAATACAAGTAATGTTACTAGTAGCAATGTAGGACATCTTCGGCAGGCTAAGCTAGAAGAGTATGCACGCAGGAGGCCTATGGACAAGTCGACGAGCAGCACACAAGCAATAGCCAAGGGGATAGCTACAGCTTGCAGGCCAGTCCACATTGTGGAGGACGAAGGCTTGAGGGATATAATTCGGATCTCATCGAACGACTCAACGTATGAGTTACCCTCGAGAGCCACCGTCATTACAAGAATACACGAGCTGTATGAAAGCGAGAGGGCTACGAAAGCGGAGGAGTTGAAACATGCAACAGCTGTTGCTCTTACGGGAGACCACTGGTGAGTAACCACAACTACCTTGGGGTTACTGCGCACCACATCGATGAAAACTGGAAACTGCATTCACACGCTCTGGCCATAATGAAGACAGAAGAGAGGCACAATGCTGAAACGTGCACTGAGCATTTCATGGATGTAGCAAAGCAGTGGAACATTGAAAACAAAGTTACCACACTTTGCACAGACAGTGCATGGGACATGATTGCAGCTGCGAGACATCTGCCTTTTGAACACCTGGTTCAAAAGGTCCATCACAGTGTCCCTACAGAACAGCGGGTTCGACAATGCCCTAGCCAAATGCTGAAATGTTGTTGAGCATTTCAAACACAGCCCACCAAACGTTACAGAGCTAGGACAACAGCAAGTTGCAAATGGGCAAAAGAAGTCACTTGCACAAGATCAAATCAAATCAAATTGTATTTGCCACATGCGCTGAATACAACAGGACCTTACAGTGAAATGCTTACTTACAAGTAGGGGTGTAACGATCCATCTACTACATCGATGTATCGATTTATATTCCTATGATCCAACTACATCGATCTGTGCTCGGCGAGTTGGCCTTTTGGACAACATATATCAATCTAACATCGTTTTAAAATGTAATAAATCGATTGTATCGATACTAGGAAATAACCCATTGGATTTAAGCACGTCAGACTTTATATGGATGTTTTTTCTTAGCACTTTTAATGATAAAGGCTTTAAACATTACTCGATTCAGTCTGCCTATCCGTGACGTCATCGCCCCGCGCCAGCAGCAGCGCAAAGGCGCAAAGACAACAAAACATAGCATGGCGGACGACAGAGGAGAAGCCGACGAGCGAGAAATTATCAAGCCACCATTGCGGTCCTTACAAGAAACAGGAATCTAGGAAACTTCACCTGCACTGTCCAGTATCCAGGTATTTATTTCAGTCACACTGGTTGAATTTTTGGCTAAAAGGTTACTGAATTGATTTCAAGTCACTGAATCGTTTCGGATCGTATCGTTCTAAATGAACCAATATCGACCTTGAATCGTATCGACAACCACGAATCGTGATACAAATCGAATCGTTGTTAAAACGAATCGTTACACCCCTACTTACAAGCCCTTAACCAACAATGCAGTTTTAAGAAAAATAAGTGTTAAGTAAAAAATAGATAAGTAAAAAGTAAAACGAACAAATAATTAAAGAGCATCAGGAAAATAAAATAACAGTAGGGAGGCTATATACAGGGGGAACCGGTACAGAGTCAATGTGCAGGGGCACAGGTTAGTCGAGGTAATTGAGGTAATATGTACATGTGAATTAAAGTGACTATGCATAGAGAATAAACAGAGTAGCAACAGCGTAAAAGGTGGGGTGGGGTGGGGGGGCAGTGCAAATAGTCCGGGTAGCCATGATTTAGCTGTTCAGGAGTCTTATGGCTTGGGGGTAGAAGCTGTTAAGAAGCCTTTTGGACCTAGACTTGGCGCTCTGGTACTGCTTGACGTGCGGTAGCAGAGAGAACAGTCTATGACTAGGGTGGCTGGAATCTTTGACAATTTTTAGGGCCTTCTTCTGACACTGCCTGGTATAGAGGTCCTGGATGGCAGGAAGCTTGGCCTCAGTGATGTACTGGGCCGTACGCACTACCCTCTGTAGTGCCTTGCGGTCGGAGGCCAAGCAGTTGCCATACCAGGCAGTGATGCAACCAGTCAGGATGCTCTCGATGGTGCAGCTGTATAACTTTTTGAGGATCTGAGGACCGATGCCAAATCTTTTCAGTCACCTGAGGGGGAATAGGCTTTGTCGTGCCCTCTTCACGACTGTCTTGGTGTGTTTGGACCATGATAGTTCGTTGGTGATGTGGACACCAAGGAACTTGAGCTCTCAACCTGTTCCACTACAGCCCCGTCGATGAGAATAGTGGCATGCTCAGTCCTCTTTCTTTTTTTTCCCTGTAGTCCACAATCATCTCCTTTGTCTTGATCACGTTGAGGGAGAGGTTGTTATCCTGGCACCACACGGCCAGGTCTCTGACCTCCTCCCTATAGGCTGTCTCATTGTTGTCGGTGATCAAGCCTACCACTGTTGTGTCGTCGGCAAACTTAATGATGGTGTTGGAGTCGTGCCTGGCCATGCAGTCATGGGTGAACAGGGAGTACAGGAGGGGACTGAGCACGCACCCCTGAGGGGCCCCCATGTTGAGGGTCAGCGTGGTAGATGTGTTGTTACCTACCCTTACAACAAGATGGAATTCCACTCTGGAAATGGTAAAGCTTGTCCACAGAAACCAACAATTACTGAGAGATGCTCTGGCCCAACAGAAAACGAGCATCACCATGCCAACCACAGCTGAACTGGAGAAACTGCAGAAACTGGAGACACTACTGGAGCCCTGCAGGTAATCTTCTTTATCTCACTATTAGTGTTAGAATAAGATTTTTTGTGTGTGTCTGTGTATTATAAGTCTCTCACAATTGATTGAAGTGATTTTGAATGATCTTCCATTGCAGGCACTTGACTGAACTTCTGGGAGGAGAGAAGTACATTTCATGCTCAGTGGTGTTGCCTGCTTTGTGCCATCTCTTTCGGGTGATGGAGAGCTCTGATGATGACCCTGCCTAAGTGGTAAGATTCATGCTGACATTCACAACAGACCTGGAGAAACGCAAGGAAAACACCAACCTCATATGGCTGAAGATCGCCACAGCACTCGACCCAAGGTTTAAGGACCTGAAGTGCCTTCCCAGACCTGAGAGGGGTGAGGGCTTTGGTCAGCAACTTGCTGAAGGAAGAGAGGCCTGCACAGCAACCTGGTAAAGCAACAGAGTCAGAGCCAACAAAGAAGAAAGCTGCCCTTTTTCTTGAGTTCGTATGGGTCTGATGAGGAGGAGTCCATTGAGAAATGTGTGGAGCGTAACAAAGCAGAGCCCAGCATCAACATGATGGACTGTCCACTACAGTTGTGGTCACAGTATGCAGGGGCACACACCAGGCTAGCCTGCATTGCACAAAGGTACCTGGCAACGCCTGCCACTTCAGTACCCTGTGAGAGGTTGTTTTCACTCTGTGGGTGTATCGTACAAAAGAAGAGAGCAGCTTTATCATCTGAAAATGGCAACAGGCTTGTTTGTCTTTGCAACTGGCTCAGTGAAAATAAATAGGAGGACGTCTGAAGTGTATGGTCACAGGTTTATGTTTTGTGGAATTCATGACATTGTTGGACAGGTGATTGTCTTTGTTCTTTGTATCCATAGAGCCCGTTTTGTTTTTCTAAAAGCCAACCCTCCAATCAGTAATTGTGAATGGCTGATGCTTTAGTGTGTGTGTGTGTGTGTGTGTGTGTGTGTGTGTGTGTGTGTGTGTGTGTGTGTGTGTGTGTGTGTGTGTGTGTGTGTGTGTGTGTGTGTGTGTGTGTGTGTGTGTGTGTGTGTGTGTGTGTGAGAGAGAGATAATTTGAGGGAGCATTAGTAGGCCTACTGGGAGCATTAATAAGTTACAGGACTTTTGTATTGCTTAACTTGTTTATGGTGAATATGCCATTAAAAACATTCTGATACAGAATATGTTTTGTGTTTCAGTCCCTACATGCCTAGAACTCAATACACTGCTTTTTTTTTTAATGGAAAAATCTTTATTTAGCACCAAAGAAATGAACGATTAATCGCGACTAACTACAGAATTTAATTGAGATTCATTATTTAAATTGTTTGACAGCCCTAATCCTAATATGAATGCTTCTGTGCCTTAGGGTGAGAAGACACTGCAGGGTGTTCCGGGGTCCAAGCCAGCCATCATCACAGCCTCCAGACCCATCACCAAGATGATCGTGACACAGCCCAAAGGCATGGGTTCCGGGGTGCAGCCCACCACCAAGATCATCCCCACCAAGATAGTGTACGGCCAGCAGGGCAAGACCCAGGTTAGTACCAGGCCAGTGCTGTCTCAGCCGGTGTAGGGTGAAGTTGCCCCTTGACGCTGGGTCTTGGGTCAGTTTTGTCTTTCTCCCACTAATGGTTAGGGTTGGGGGAGGGGAAGCTGATCCTATATCTGTCTGTACCCTGGGGAAACTTCACCCCGTAGAAGTGTGGAGATCAATTTGTACTCAAAGCTCTTTGTCTTGGATATATTTAAACCTCTGTCTTGAATTACCAATGCATCAAGTCAGTGGAGCTATAATTTAACAAATCAATGTTGTAGCTTTAAGATATTTTTAGAATGGCGCCGAAGAAGATGGCAGCCATTTTACAGCCCTCTAACCAATTGTACTATTATGTGTTTCTTCGCGTAATTTATTCTGTACATAATGTTTCTGCCATCGTCTCTTATGACCAAAAAGAGCTTCTGGATATCAGGACAGCGATTACTCAACTCGTATTGGACGAAGATTCTTTCTTCAACGAGTCGGATGCGAAGGATATCCTACAGACACCTGACAAGGCCCAAATCCCCGTCATTCGCATGAGAAAGAGATGGAGATATCGTGGACGTAGGTCGGGGTGCCTTATAAGGATCCAACGGCGAGCGATTTAAACTGCCTCTTCCATCAATCCTATTAGCCAAGGTTCAATCATTTTAAAATAAATTAGACGACCTAAGATTACGGTTTTCCTACCAACGGGACATTAAAAACTGTAATATCTTATGTTTCACCGAGTCATGGCTGAACGACGACATGGATAACATAAAGCTGGCGGATATACGCTACATCGGCAGGATAGAACGCTGACTCCGGTAAGACAAGGGGTGGCGGTCTGTGTATATTTGTAAACAACAGCTGGTGCACAAAGTCACCTAAGGCACTAAGATTGCACTCAATGAGCTGTATAAGGCCATAAGTAAACAGGAAAACGCTCATCCAGAGGCAGCGCTCCTAGTGGCCGGGGACTTTAATGCAGGGAAACTTAAATCCGTTCTACCTCATTTCTACCAGCATGTTAAATGTGCAACCAGAGGGAAAATAACTCTAGACCACCTTTACTCCACACACAGAGACACGTACAAAGCTCTCCCTCGCCCTCCATTTGGCAAATCTGACCATAACTCTATCCTCCTGATTCCTGCTTATAAGCAAAAACTAAAGCAGGAAGCACCAGTGACTCGGTTAATAAGGAAGTGGTCAGATGACGCAGATGCTAAGCTACAGGACTGTTTTGCTAGCACAGACTGGAATATGTTCCGGGATTCTTCCGATAGCATTGAGCAGTAAACCACATCAGTCACTGGCTTCATCAATAAGTGCATCGATGATGTCGTCCCCACAGTGACCGTACGTACATAACCCAACCAGAAGCCATGGATTACAGGCAACATCTGCACTGAGCTAAAGGGTAGAGCTGCCGCCTTCAAGGAGCGGGACTCTAACCCGGACGCTTATAAGAAATCCCGCTATGCCCTCTGATGTGCCATCAAACAGGCAAAGAGTCAATACAGGACTAAGATTGAATCGTACTACACCGGCTTTGACGCTCATCGGATGTGGCAGGGCTTAAAAACTATTACAGACTACAAAGGGAAGCACAGCCGTGAGCTGCCCAGTGACACAAGCCTACCAGACTAGCTATATCACTTCTATGCTCGCTTCGAGGCAAGTAACACTGAAGCATGCATGAGAACATCAGCTGTTCCGGATGACTATGTGATCAAGCTTTCTGTAGCTGATGTGAGTAAGAGCTTTAAACAGGTCAACATTCACAAGGCCGCAGGGCCAGACGGATTACCAGGACGTGTACTCCGAGCATGCGCTGACCAACTGGCAAGTGTCTTCACTGACATTTTCAACATGTCCCTGACTGAGTCTGTAATACCAACATGTTTCAAGCAGACCACCATAGTCCCTGTGCCCAAGGACACTAAGATAACCTACCTAAATGACTACCGACCCGTAGCACTCACGTCTGTAGCCATGAAATGCTTTGAAAGGCTGGTCATGGCTCACATCAACACCATTATCCCAGAAACCCTAGACCCACTCCAATTTGCATACCGCCCCAACAGATCCACAGATGATGCAATCTCTATTGCACTCCACACTGCCCTTTCCCACCTGGACAAGAGGAAAACCAATGTGAGAATGCTATTCATTGACTACAGCTCAGCGTTCAACACCATAGTGCCCTCAAAGCTCATCACTAAGCTAAGGATCCTGGGACTAAACACCTCCCTCTGCAACTGGATCCTGGACTTCCTGACGTGCCGCCCCCAGGTGGTAAGGGTAGGTAACAACACAAATGCCATGCTGATCCTCAACATTGGGAACCCTCAGGTGTGCGTGCTCAGTCCCCTCCTGTACTCCCTGTTCACCCATGACTGCATGGCCAGGCACGACTCCAACACCATCATTAAGTTTGCTGACGACACAACAGTGGTAGGCCTGATCACCGACAATGATGAGACAGCCTATAGGAAGGAAGTCAGAGACCTGGCCGTGTGGTGCCAGGATAACAACCTCTCCCTCAACGTGCTTAAGACAAAGGAGATGATTGTGGACTACAGGGGGGAAAAAAAGAGAACTGAGCACGCCCCCATTCTCATCGACGGGGCTGTACTGGAACAGGTTGAGAGCTTCAAGTTCCTTGGTGTCCACATCACCAACAAACTATCATGGTCCAAACACACCAAGACAGTCGTGAAGAGGGCACAACAAAGCCTATTCCCCCTCAGGAGACTGAAAAGATTTGGCATGGGTCCTCAGATCCTCAAAAGGTTGTACAGCTGCACCATCGAGAGCATCCTGACTGGTTGCATCACTGCCTGGTATGGCAACTGCTCGGCCTCCGACTGCAAGGCACTACAGAGGGTAGTGCGTACGGCCCAGTACAACACTGGGGCCAAGCTTCCTGCCATCCAGGACCTCTATACCAGGCGGTGTCAGAGGAAGGCCCTAAAAATTATCAAAGACTCCAGCCACCCTAGTCATTGACTGTTCTCTCTGCTGCCGCACGGCAAGCAGTACCGGAGCGCCAAGTCTAGGTCCAAAAGGCTTCTCAACAGCTTCTACCCCCAAGCCATAAGACTCCTGAACAGCTAATCATGGCTACCCGGACTATTTGCATTTTTAAACTGCATTGTTGGTTATGGGCTTGTAAGTAAGCATTTCACTGTCTACACCTGTTGTATTCGGCACATGTGGCAAATAAAATTTGATTTAATATTAAGTCCATACTACTTTATATAGGCACATTAATTAATAGTATGATGTAAAAAGGAACACCAACCAGGACACTTGACAATGGTCTCAGCTCTGCTTTACATTATGGAAAAAGTCAAATAAAAAAACGATTTCCCTGTTGCCATTCACTGAGACTGTTCTACGTGTGTAATATCAAATAACATTAAACATTTTATGCCCCTCCAGGTGCTGATCAAGCCCAAGCCCATCTTCCAGACAGCGGTTGTGAGCGAGCAGACCAGGCAGCTGGTGAGCGAGACCCTTCAGCACACATCCCGGGTGGCCGATGCGGGTCCGGCTTACGCACAGGAGAGGGCGCACAAGGAAGAGTCAGGTGCCATCGCTAAGGGCAGGTCCCCGCCCGCTGAGGGCTCCCACGGCATCGGTCACAGTACGTTGCATCACTCCACATCACAGAGCAAAAAATCCATAATATAGTCTGCAGGCTAATTACGGGAACATAAATCATGGTCAAGTTAAAACTGCTGTGTATTGCTCTTGCATTGTTGTCTCACACAGCCGTTGACTACTTCAAATCAAATTGTATTTGTCACATGCGCCGAATACAACAGTAATACAACCTTACCGTGAAATGCTTACGTACAAGCCCTTAAGCAACAATGCAGTTCAAGAAATGGTTAATAAAATAAAAAGTAACACAAAAAGATTACATAACAATAATGAAGCTATATACAGGGGGTACCGAGTTAATGTGCGGGGGTACAGGTTAGTCGAGGTCATTTGTACATGTAGGTAGGGGTAAAGTGACTATGCATAGATAATAAACAGCGAGTAGCAGCAGTGTAAAAACAAAGTAGGGGGGGCAATGCAAATAGTCCGGGTGGCCATTTGATTAATTGTTCAGCAGTCTTATGGCTTGGGGGTAGAATCTGTTAAGGAGCCTTTTGGACCTAGACTTGGCGCTCCGGTACCGCTTGCAGTGCGGTAGCAGAGAGAACAGTCTATGACTTGGGTGACTGGAGTCTTTGACAATTTTTTGGGCCTTCTGCCGTAGTACGAAAGTGTATCTATTCTCACTAGTATTAAGCTAAGTATAACATTTCCCTTAACTTTAAAGTTTCAAATGGTACAAAGTTCCACTCGCATAATATAATTGTTTCAATTTCCTTCTACTTGAATGCCATGCCTAAATCAACTGGAATCGAAAGGGAATCAGCCCAATTTTATATACAACATGAATTGTTATGGTTGTCGTCTTCGGTCAGACTCCCAGTCCGTAGTGCACATCATCTCCTCCAGGGGGCAGGAGTGGGCCGAGCAGCACGAGGTGTCGGTGAAGTCCAGCCCTACCATAATCTACCAGGACGTGTCTACGGGTGACGTGTCCCAGTCGGCCACCTCGACCATCAAGGCCCTGCTGGAACTGCAGCAGACAACAGGTGACTGACAGACTGACCGTCGTCATCATGGCAACTATCACGCCACTTACCAGGTCAATTCCATTTCAATTCAGAAACTGAATTTACTGAATTGAAATGGAATTGACCCTAACCCTGCCACTAACTCTTCTCTCTCTCATGTGAACATTACATTTTAGTCATTAAGCAGACACTCTACAGAGCTCGACATTATGGCTTGTCATCCGGGGCAAGTAAAAAAATTGTCGGACAACCAGAATATAGATTTCAGTTGTCTGGATGGACAGGTATACAAAATTGATCGCACAAAAATCACTATCAAACAATTACTCCGATCAGAATTGGATCAGGCAGCGCACAGCAGGGGAGTGCATGGTCGACATTGAGTAAATTGCTTATATTCCTATTCGCTATTGCCTATTTCATTAAATACGTTATATTAACACAAAGCAAGAGAACAATGTAGACAGAGCTAAGAGTCTTACCAAAGCAGCGCAAAATATATGTTCAGAAAATGTTGAGACATTTTCATTCGCTAAATTAAATTTGATCTGTCTTTTTAATTGTGTGCTCCGTATTTAGTTTAAGATGGGTTATAATTATGTCTGTTGTAAAATAAGTAACATCAGCCTATTTCTGTCATTTGTTGGGTAGGGTAGGCACTTGCTGCCATATACTGTATCCTGTTCAGAACGTTTGTGAATGTTTAAACCATATTTCATTCTGTTGAGACATTTTGTTTGGCCAAATTAAGTTCCAACTGTCATGCTGTGTTTGCGCAATATAATAGCCTGCTCCTATATTCCTTATAAACAATGGATTTACTTACTTTTGATGTTACCCTAATAAAGTTCAGAAACTTTTGTGAACGTTTGGTATGGTGTGGCTATTATTAAGCTTTAGCTACTGCAAGCCTATGATATGAAGGCAGTGAGCACCAGCGCTCCAATTGACTCCGACAGTTGAACTTGAAGTGAGGAAGAATGTTTCAGGCCTACCAGAGTTACTCCTATAATCGAACAATATAATACTTATCTTTATACAAAATATTCTGATTTGAAAATTTTGTAATTAACCTCCTGTAAGTTTATATCTGTATCGCAGACGCAGTAGCCATCTGACATAAAGAAATGCATGTCGGTGTCATAGCATGTCGCTGGCATAGCATGTCGCTGGCATATCCATCTCTCTCTCTATGGGGATAGGCCTAAGCTTCTCTTCCTTTTTTTTTTTTTTTTTATATATATATACACACACACACAGTACCAGTCAAAAGTTTGGACACACCTACTCATTCAAGGGTTTTTCTTTATTTTTACTATTTTCTACATTGTAGAATAATAGTGAAGACATCAAAACTATGAAATAACACATATGGAATCATGTAGTAACCAAAAAAGCTTACACAAATCTTCAAAGTAGCCACCCTTTGCCTTGATGACAGCTTTACACACTCTTGGCATTCTCTCAACCAGCTTCATGAGGTAGTCACCTGGAATGCATTTCAATTAACGGGTGCCTAGTTAAATATTAATTTCTTGAATTTCTTTCCTTCTTTTTAATTCGTTTTTTATTTACATTTTTTAAAATCTTTTTTATTTTTGTCATTTAGCAGACGCTCTTATCCAGAGCGACTTACAGTTAGTGAACACATATATTATTTTATTTTTTTGTTTTTTATTTTTTCTGTTATTATTATTTATTTATTTTATATATATTTTTTTTATACTGGCCCCCCGTGGGAATCGAACCCACAACCCTGGCGTTGCAAACGCCATGCTCTATCAACTGAGCTACATCCCTGCCGGCCATTCCCTCCCCTACCCTGGACCAATTGTGCGCCGCCCATGAGTCTCCCGGTCACGGCCGGCTGCGACAGAGCCTGGATTCGAACCAGGATCTCTAGTGGCACAGTTAGCACTGCGATGCAGTGCCTTAGACCACTGCGCCACTCAGGAGTACACCATTTGAGCCAATCAAGTTGTGTTGTGACAAGGTAGGGGGGGTATACAGAAGATAGCCCTATTTGGTAAAAGACCAAGTCCATATTATGGCAAGAACAGCTCAAATAAGCATAGAGAAACGACAGTCCATCATTACTTTAAGACATGAAGGTCAGTCAATCCGGAAAATTTCAAGAAGTTCCAGAGTTACCTCTGCTGCTGAGGATAAGTTCATTAGAGTTAACCGCACCTCAAATTGCAGCCCAAATAAATGCTTCACAGAGTTCAAGTAACAGACACATCTCAACATCAACTGTTTGTAGGAGACTGCGTGGATCAGGCCTTCATGGTCGAATTTCTGCAAAGAAACCACTACTAAAGGACACCAATAAGAAGAAGAGACTTGCTTCGGCCAAGAAACATGAGCAATGGACATTAGACCGGTGGAAATCTGTCCTTTGGTCTGATGAGTCCAAATTTGAGAATTTTGGTTCCAACCGCAGAGTAGGTGAACGGATGATCTCTGCATGTGTGGTTCCCACCGTGAAGCATGGAGGAGGAGGTGTTATGGTGTGGGGGTGTGGGGGTGCTTTGCTGGTGACACCGTCAGTGATTTTATTTAGAATTCAAGGCACGCTTAACCAGCAAGGCTACCACAGCATTCTGCAGCGATATGCCATCCCATCTGGTTTGCACTTTGTGGGACTATCATTTGTTTTTTGACAGGACAATGACCCAAAACATACCTCCAGGCTGTGTAAGGGCTATTTGACCAAGGAGAGTGATGGAGTGCTGCATCAGATGACCTGGCCTCCACGGTCACCCGACCTCAACCCAATTGAGATGGTTTGGGATGAGTTGGACCACAGAGTGAAGGAAAATAAGCCAACAAGTGCTCAGCATATGTGGGAACTCCTTCAAGACTGTTGGAAAAGCATTCCTCATGAAGCTGGTTGAGAGAATGTCAAGAGTGTGCAAAGCTGTCATCAAGGCAAAGGTTGCTACTTTGAAGAATCTCAAATATAAAATATATTTTGATTTGTTTAACACTTTTTTTGGTTACTACATGATTCCATGTGTGTTATTTCATAGTTTTGATATCTTCACTATTGTTCTACAATGTAGAAAATATATATAGAAAACCCTTGAATGAGTAGGTGTGTCCAAACTTTTGACTGGTACTGTATATATTAGTTATACTATTTTGATATTGATTACTGCACTGTTGGGTAGAGTATGCAAGTTAAGCATTTCACTGTACTTGTGCATGTGACAATAAAACTTGAACTTGGGAGGAAAGCCCCAGCTCCCGACACCTGAGTTTTCAGACTGCTCCGAACTCTAATTCACATATAAGCGACGGTACTTTGTCACCCCACTTCCTTCCAATATAAATGGAGTAGTTGTTTATGAGAGGATTGATAGTGACAATCTCTATTGCCCTCACAGTGAAGGAGAAAGGCGAGGCCAAGCCTAGGCAGCAAACCATAGACCTGAGCCAGATGGCCGTTCCCCTTCAGATGGCCCAGGACAAGAAGCAGCAGGCCTTAAGCTCCTCCGAGATGTCCACTGTAGAGACTGAACCACCCATCGAATATGTCACTGACGGTACGTGACCGGACCACTCCAAGTGTGTCCCAAATGGCACCCTATTCCCTATACCAGGGCTGCCCAACCCTCTTCCTGGAGATCGTGGTCTCGTGTAGCTCAGTTGGTAGAGCATGGCGCTTGCAACGCCAGGGTTGTGGGTTCGATTCCCACAGGGGGCCAGTATGAAAATGTATGCACTCACTAACTGTAAGTCTGCTAAATGACTGAAATGTAAATGTAATCTACCGTCCTATGGGTTTTCAGTCCAACCCAATTAAACAGACCTGATTCTACTTATTAGCTGCTCAACAAGACCTTAACAAGCTGAATCAGATATGCTAAATTAGGGTTGGACTGAAAACCTACAGGACAGTAGATCTCCAGGAAGAGGGTTGGGCAGCCCTGCCCTGTACAGTAGTGCACTATATCGAGCAGGGCTGTTCTGTTTTTTGTTTATACCTGGTAGTTAATTGCACTCACCTGTTGTCCCAGGTCTGAATTAGTCCCTTATTAGAAGGAGAGGATGAAAACCAGAAGTGTTTTGGCCCTAAATGGATATGTTGCTCACTTCCTTTTCATAATGTGTTGTTGCTAAGTACATTGAAGTATATCATACTTGGTCACCACTTAATAATGATATTACACCATGGATGTAAAATAATGCACTTTTCTGCTCATGTATTCTTCAGGGGTTTACACACAATTGTAGCCCCCGCCCTAACCAGGCTGAATAGAGCAAAGTGAAAAAACAGCTGGCTGTTCGATACTTCCCCATGCTCACTAAAGAATGGCTCAAAGTAATGCAGTTCGTGTCGACCCCATAGTGTAAATAGTTTTATTCCATGTCTATGACTGTCTAACTTTGTGCAGGTAAAGCAAGCAGGGCCGGACCATCCTCTGTAGGCGTGGGGGACGTGGGCATATCCGCTAGCCAGCAGCAGGGGGCACCCTCGCAAAACAACAGCCACACCCCCGTGATGGCCAAGTCCATCCCCACCTCCTCTGCAGTCACCGTCACACGCATTGTCCAACTGGTGAGAGAAATGCCTACCTAGAATGCATGCCCTTGTCTGTCTTTGTATTCTTCTTCACCTATGTTTTATCAAAGTATTTTTTCTAATTATATAGTTTATAGATAGTGCATGTTATACTCCATTATCTCACTGTCATATGATCTCACTGTTCATTGGGTAAGTGTTCCAGTGTATCAATATGCACCAATATACACTGCTCAAAAAAATAAAGGGAACACTTAAACAACACAATGTAACTCCAAGTCAATCACACTTCTGTGAAATCAAACTGTCAACTTAGGAAGCAACACTGATTGACAATACATTTCACATGCTGTTGTGCAAATGGAATAGACAACATGTGGAAATTATAGGCAATTAGCAAGACACCCCCAATAAAGAAGTGGTTCTGCAGGTGGTGACCACTGACCACTTCTCAGTTCCTATGCTTCCTGGCTGATGTTTTGGTCACTTTTGAATGCTGGCGGTGCTTTCACTCTAGTGGTAGCATGAGACGGAGTCTACAACCCACACAAGTGGCTCAGGTAGTGCAGCTTATCCAGGATGGCACATCAATGCGAGCTGTGGCAAGAAGGTTTGCTGTGTCTGTCAGCGTAGTGTCCAGAGCATGGAGGCGCTACCAGGAGACAGGCCAGTACATCAGGAGACGTGGAGGAGGCCGTAGGAGGGCAACAACCCAGCAGCAGGACTGCTACCTCCGCCTTTGTGCAAGGAGGAGCAGGAGGAGCACTGCCAGAGCCCTGCAAAATGACCTCCAGCAGGCCACAAATGTGCATGTGTCTGCTCAAACGGTCAGAAACAGACTCCATGAGGGTGGTATGAGATGAGATCCTCAGACCCCTTGTGAGACCATATGCTGGTGCGGTTGGCCCTGGGTTCCTCCTAATGCAAGACAATGCTAGACCTCATGTGGCTGGAGTGTGTCAGCAGTTCCTGCAAGAGGAAGGTATTGATGCTATGGACTGGCCCGCCCGTCCCCAGACCTGAATCCAATTGAGCACATCTGGGACATCATGTCTCGCTCCATCCACCAACGCCACGTTGCACCACAGACTGTCCAGGAGTTGGCGGATGCTTTAGTCCAGGTCTGGGAGGAGATCCCTCAGGAGACCATCCGCCACCTCATCAGGAGCATGCCCAGGCGTTGTAGGGAGGTCATACAGGCACGTGGAGGCCACACACACTACTGAGCCTCATTTTGACTTGTTTTAAGGACATTACATCAAAGTTGGATCAGCCTGTAGTGTGGTTTTCCACTTAAATTTTGAGGGTGACTCCAAATCCAGACCTCCATGGGTTGATACATTTGATTTCCATTGATAATTTTTGTGTGATTTTGTTGTCAGCACATTCAACTATGTAAAGAAAAAAGTATGTAATAAGATTATTTCATTCATTCAGATCTAGGATGTGTTGTTTATGTGTTCCCTTTATTTTTTTGAGCAGTGTATATCTATCTACAGTATACCAATACATCGATATACCAGTATCACATGTTCTAGTATGCATTAGTTTCTTTGACTTGTGACACTAGTCTCATTGATAGTACATTGTTATTCCAGGCTTCGGCAGGCCAACTGATCCACAGTAAGCATGCGGAGGAGACTGTGATGGAGGAGGGCGAACTGGAGGGGGACACCCTGGACCCCCAGACGGGCCTGTTCTACCGCTCCATCCAACCCGCTGCAGTCCAGCCCCCTGCCCCCCATCACCAAAGCCAGTCACACTCGGAGCCCCAGTCGGAGCAGGGCAGACACATACCCCACTCCACCCAAACCCCACCCCAACCCCCACAGCTACACTGCAAGTCCCAGATGAGCCTGCCTTCCACCGCCACCTTGGCAAAGGAGCCACCCCAGCTCCAAGAGCAATACCAGCCCAAGCCCCAGGCTCCAGGGCAGAGCCTGAAGGAGAGGCCCTCCTCTGCCTCGGGATCCCCCCAGCTGGCGGGCCTGGGCACCCCCACCAAGCCTCCCTCACTCACCCCCCAGCTCCCCAAGTTGCAGCAGGCGCCCACCTCCCACCACAGGCCCATCCACACACAGCTGTCCCAGCCACCGCCACTACAGGCCCACCACCCGGTGGGTGCAGACAAGACTCCTGCCACAAGCCAGGTGAGTACCCTCCCTCTTTGATGCACATCCAGGGTCAGGTGCCTATTTGATTTATTTGGACATTTATTTGTCCGGGACAGATCCGGTTGACACAGTGAATCATCAATAGTAAAATGCATTGTGCCATAATGCTTTAGAATAGAACTTCATTTAAACTTTATTTTCCCTCAAGATGGATTTTGTCCTGCGCATTTAAAATAATTTGCAATACACAAACAGATGTACATAGTTCACATTCCATACAGAAATAACACGTGTAAATCTTGTGCTTATACACAGCACCTGTCCTTTGGTAGGCCTTTAAGATCAAGGAGATAAGACGGAGCTCTGGGCACCGTGCCTCAATGCTCAATTCCCTTCCAATCACATCAGTGTTATTTGTACAGCAGCGCAGGGAGCCTGACAAAACCTTCAAAGCCCTCCACTTATGACCACCTGAAAAAAAAATCCCATTGTTTTTCTTTCAAAAGGAGCACCTGGGTTTTAGAGTTTTCCCATGCCCTACTCTAGTTTCAACCATAGAAATATAATTACTAGAATGGGAAAAGCCCTTTCAGACCATGGCAATTTGACTGTAACACTCTTGGGTACATTCAATATGGCTGCATGTCCACTTATTACAAAATGTTGACATGAATGGCAATGTCCGTTTTAGTCATTCTATTTCTATGGTTCCAACCATATCTGTTTTTCCCTCTCTCTCCTGACACAGGCGCCAATCATCACCCAGGGCGCCAGCATCACCAAGATCACCTTTGGCGGTAGCAGCAGCCACCAGTCCCTGCCCGTGTCCAGCAGCGGCGAGGCCACTGCCAAGCTGGTCCCTGCCGAGCCCAGCAGCTCGGGCTCGTCCGGTGGCGAGAAGCCCTCCGTCTCGGACATCCTTAAGATCTCCATGATGGAGGCAGAGATCGACCCCAGTGCTGAACCCATGGTGGTGGACTCGTCCAGTGACTGCAGCCCTTACGTAAAGGCCCTGGACTTGGGGGCGCTGGGGGGCTCAGGTCCGGTCATCAGCAGCTCAGGGGCCTCCCTGCATCACTCGTCCCACTCCAAGCCCCAGCATGACCAGTTTAGCCGCATCCAGGGCCTAGCGGCCAAGAGCAAAGAGGACCTGGATGTCATTGAGGTAAGTTGCTGTGAGCCATATGATAAACAGTTCTTAAACATAGCTTTTTAATAGAACACAACTGATCTCTGCTTTTAACATCTATCAACAAGAAAAGCTAAACATGCATTACGCCACTCCCCAGGTAATTCCTCAGTACTCCATCATGCCAGACTCCAGTCAGTCCAATGTGGTGATGGAGCCCAGCGGCTTCCTGGAGATCACAGACTACACCAGCCAGCGGCTGGACGAGGAGAGCGTCATGGAGCAGGAGGTGGACAGCAGCAACGATGAGGCCACCGCTGTCAGCCCCATGGAGGAGGGCTGCCCTGACCAGTCCCAGTGACACCATCACGTGTGACGGGAATGACTTTGTGGCTTTGGTGTGAAGGGGATGATCTTGGTGTGACAGGGTAGATATGGAGATGATCATGACTGTGTCATCATGGTTACCTCCTGATGCAGTTGGAACCCTAAGGACTAAACAGCAAGCGGACACAAATGTGTGATAACTGCGTAAGGACTTTTCTTCTGTTTTTATTTATTTTTATTTCATTGAGCACCAACTTCATAAATATGCCTGGATGATGTTAGATAAGGCCTTATGAAGAACTTAAAGGCCTGGAAAGAAGGAACATGTTTAAAAAAAAAAAAGAGACATTTATAAAAAGAGTGCAAGGGAATCAAAGAGAGACCTAAGTCAACCCTAGCCTTGTGTACAGGTGAAGTTGACCAGGAACTGCATCCATGGAAGAAAAAAAAAGGTTTTTCGATAATTTCAAAGTGGACATTTTGTATTCACTGAATTAGCAGTTTAGTAAAGCAATCTTGTGTTCAGGAGCTTAAAATATTGCCGTGGCTCTTTAGGTCATTTATTTAATATTTTATTTAACACTTTTATAGCAAGGCAATATTAAAACTGGAAGTAGGACCTGGACTGAAACATGGCCACATTTTAAGAACTTCATCTCCTTAACTCAACAAAATAAGTAGAGCACATTGGACTGACCTTGCTGTAATTATGCTGATTTAAATTGCTTGCATAACAGTATTTGTTGAACACCATTTTTGATTTGCAAAACCTTTTGTTGTTTTTTAAGGTACATTTTAATACATAACGTAATTGTACTCGTACAGTTTGTTTATAGTGGGCACCTGCATGCTAAATAACTCAAACGTAAATGATAAAGTGCTTGTAGTAAGCCTTGAGGAATTAGCACTTTGTAGTTGAAACTGTTGGTAAGAACATTGTTGGAAGAAAAAATAGAAATTTCACCCGTGTTCCTTCAATGTTGTTTCTGTTTTGTGTTCTCTCTTTGTGTAACGTTTAGAATTTCAACTGTATAAACTTTTATACAAAAGCTTAAACTGTTTTTCTGTTCTCTCATTTACCTTGACTCCACTCTTTAACTGAGTTTAAAGAAGGACTGCACACAATTTTGCATTCCTTTTGTGAATTTCATTTTGTACATAACCCGGGGACCTGCAGTCCATATTATTGAAACGACCTGTCAACATGAGGAAATCACCAATGTTTAAGCAAAATGTTTTTTGGGGGACTGAATGTATTTTTTAAATGTCACTGTTTACCATAATGCATCATATAGGGGTAAAAATAAAGCATCAACCGAGAGCTTTATGTGGGCAGTGGTGGAGGGTAGATGTACGCTATACAGTTTCTAGCCTAATGGGGGGGGGGTGTGTGTGTGTGTGTGCGTTTGGAACTTTCGGTGGATACCAGCACCCTTATGTTAGTGCCTTAATAGTTTGGGTTGTATAATGGCAAGCTATACAGGTTTTGTTTACACCACGTTGTTGGGCTAAGTGCTATGTAATCAGCGATTGCCGTTAGGCTTGCCAGTGTACAGCTGGCTCAAAGGGGATGTCTGTTTGTCATTCATTATAGGGTGATTTTACTATCTCACCGGGCTTCTGCAAATCTTCCCATGTAAATCTAGGGACTTTCCATATCCGGATATCACTGAAGCGTATTCCACTGGGAGTATACCCAGGGCAGGATGACATAGGCCTAGAACTAGCTCTCCCCTCATTAACTTCGTTGAGGAGTGGTCAGCATTGTGTGCTAACAAACAACATCAAAAGATGATTCAAGTGGTTCATTTCACAATCTTTCTGGATTAAGATTAGGACATTTTGGGCTTTGCTTTGAGGATGTCTGTCTGAACATGTGACAAGCGCCTGTTTTGCAAAAAAGTAATTAAATGATACCTCAAAATTCACATTAATTCTAGCAGCATGCTAATCGTACCTCAAAGCCTTTGGAAAACAAAGTATGTAAGCATACCGTAATAAAACAAGTGTGTTTGGTTTTGTAAGAATGGGGGACCACAGACATAATCATTATTGTCCTTTTGTTTAGGAATACAATAAATGTTTTGAATGTGTCTGTCTTTTACAGAAAGAGCACACACTTCATCCAGGTTTAATTACAAAGTAGATATTTGTCAAATCTGGACTCAAAAGTTTGTAACAGGCCCACAATGTGGTTACTAAAGTACGATTTGGATATATTTGGCTGTTTTTGCTGCATAACATTTAAAAGTTGTCCCTTTTCAGGTTTAGAAGAAGTGACCGCTAAACGCTAACTCCCATTCGTATAAGATGATAGCATAGACAAATCGGTGCATAGACAAATCGGTGGTGGTAATCAGTCATTTTGAACTGTAATGCAGTTGATTGGGGACGATGACATGAACATGTATTGGGGTTTACATCCATACAAACATAATGCTCAGATTGTTACCTCAACATAGTGTGAAATACACATATAAACAGTAGCCTAAACGTGGGCTAATTTTGCTGGGGGATAATGAGGAGATTCTGGATCTTTCCCCCACGCATATCAATGCATTTCCATTGTTTTGATCGAGTTCCATTCCTCTTTACCACATCAATGAGCAAGCTCTGGCCTTCATGTATTGTTTGCAGCACATGTTTTTCAACTATGTTTACCCATTACAGCTAATGAGAAACTGCACTCACTCACTCTGTCTGACAACAATAGTACAATTAAGCCTTGTTCACATTGGCAGTTTGAAGTAACTCAATTCCTATTTTTTGCATATCCGATTTGAATATGTTATTTTTGCTGCAGTCTGAACAGCCAAAAAGCACATGGAATCGGATATTTCAAACCACCTTCGTAGGATCTATTTGCCCTCAATTGGTTTTAAGACTGTTATTTAGCATATATTGTTGCTTGCTAGCTACTCTGTTGACAGTTTGACAAGAATATGTGTTAGCTAATTAGCTTGTTAATTGTTTACAAACAAATGAGTGAATGTGTTAGAAAGCTAAACAGCCAGCTAGTTGATTGCTGTGGCTAGCCAAAAATGACTCATTTGAAAGTTGGATCATCTTATCCTTTTTTGAGGCTTTAAACGTGTTTATTACACTATGATTTTGAACATTCAAAGCAACTGAGAAACGTCCATGGCAGGCACCTTAGCTTGGCAGGCACTTTAGTCACCTAGCTTGCTACATTACTTCTGAGTGATAGGAAGCACCACCACCAATCAGCCTACACCACTGTGCACACACTCGTCATTACTATTTTACCTAACCCTGCTGACCTCAAACCATACTGTACTGGCTCAGATATTTTCATTTCACTTTGTCCTTTCCAGTGCGATTCCAGCAACTCTGGTGGATGCGTAAACAGGCCAGCCCAATACAGTGTGGCTTGTCCGGTTTTGCTTAGCTCAGTAGTGTGCATTTATTTCACTCACACATAGATCATTTTTCTTTAGGTTCAGATAATTGAACTTACATTCACTACAAGGTACAGTGAGCTCCAAAGGTATTGGGACAGTGACACATGATTATTATTTTTGGCTCTGTACTCCAGCACTTTGGATTTGAAGTTATACCATGACTATGAGGTTAAAGTGCAGACTCCGTATCGGGTGAACCGCTTAGAAATTACAGCACTTTTTGTGCATAGTCCCCCCATTTTAGGGGACCAAAAGTATTGGGACAAATTCATCTATGTGTACTAAAGTTCTCAAAAGTTTAGTATTTGGTCCCATATTCCTAGCATGCAAGGATTACATCAAGCCTGTCCTTTTAAGACATCCACTGGCAGCTCTAGAAGAAGAATTCACATAGTACAAAATCCACCTGCTGGGTATTCATGAGGGGAGTGAGTTCAGATTACCCTGCTGGTTTGCTCCTCTATAGCCCGTCTACACATTCAGGTTGTACATCTGATGTACGATGCATTTGATACAATGGTTGTGATACAATAGTTTGTGTGCACAAACAAGTTTACACAGCAACTGTCCTGTCTACCCACAATGTTTGTGTCATTGCTTTTGTGCAGAAACACTCCATTGTATCACAACCATTGTGCCAAATGCATTGTACCTCAGTTGTATAACTACAGTGTATACGGGGCATCCAGAATCTTGTTTGTGGTAAGACTCCTGGTTAACCTTATCCCAGGGCTTTAACACTTTCACTGTGGTGTCCGCGGAGGGAGTTGACTGGGCATCTGGGGCTGTATGTATCAAGTAGGAGTAGGAATGCTGATTTAGGGTCAGATTTTCCTTTTAAATCACAACTAATAAGACCACATGGACAGGGTGGACCTGATCCTAGATCAGTACTCCTACTCTGAGACGCTTGATGTATACAGACCATAATATGATATCCCACCCTGTATACTTCTGCTCTGGTAGATTCGGGGGTGTCACCGTTTTTGTACCCTCATATCGATGTTTGTTCGGGCTTAGAGGAGCGGCTCCTTTGGCAGTGACTGGGCCTCTGGGTATCCCGGTATGCACTGTCCTGGCCCGCATTGTGGTCTGCCTCTCCCCTGCTTTGGAAGTGAAATCCTGGGTTGAGGGTTGAGTATGTCCTCCTGGGGCTGAGATCCAGCCGGCAGCCCAGACATAGTTGGAAGTGGCCCCAGGAAGTGTGGCTCTATTTAGGGGCAAGCTGACTTACCGTTCCCCCTCTTGTCCCCCACAGTCACTCCTCAACCTGTGATGAATGTGCCAAGTCCCAGTGTGTGACACGGCTTTCCTCGCTTCGCTGGCTCACCCAGGTGAAAGAGACACACTAAACCCTCATCTGGCCTTCTCTCTCTCTCTCTCTCTCTCTCTCTCTCTCTCTCTCTCTCTCTCTCCTCTCTCTCTCTCTCTCTCTCTCTCTCTCTCTCTCTCTCTCTCTCTCTCTCTCTCTCTCTCTCTCTCTCTCTCATAACAGGAATATCTTAAATGGAAATGAATCCCAGACGTTGTGTATGTGTGTCCGCACGTGTGTGTGAGAGAACACAGGCAGGCCCTTGGTTTATGTAGATTAAGATTTTGCTGGGGTCAGCAG